GTAGTCCCAGCTACTTGGGAGGCTGAGGCAGGAGACTCGCTTGAGCCCAGGAGTTGGAGGTTGCTGTGAGCACGATGCCATGGCACTCTACCCAGGTGGATAGCTTGAGAAAAAAAAAAAAAAAAAAGGAAAAAAATGCAGGTTGCCCCCCGCAATCTAATGTATGGTAAAATACATGAATTTCAGCTGAAGAATACTTAATTTAATCATGGAAAAAATTTATTAAAAGCCTTGAAGAGAACTCTTTACCCCAACTAGATCTTTTAATCTACTAGAACCCATTCCATTTTTCCAAAGATTAAATGCAAATCACAGTTCAGAAGAAAGCAACAAATGGAAATTACCAAGGATTTTCTCTAGTAAATAGTTTAAATAATAGCCTTTATGAGGGAATAGCAGAGTCACACTACCAAAAAGGTCTTTAAATTTACAGGAATAATAAAGTGCAGAATTTTCGCATTTTCTTAAAAACTCTAAATGAACACTAAGAATAATTATCATTAATTAGCAAGATTTAGTCACTTTTTAGACAGTTTGCCTTAAGGTCCCTTCCTTCCCCGTATTTGCAAAACTGAAAAAGAAAAAAAGTTGCAGAGGCTCCAATCAAGCCAGTCTTTTTTATTCAACTTAACAAAACCCACCACCACTGTCATCATCAAGTAAGATCACAAGTTTATAAAGGTTACAAATGAGTGAGAAAATGACTCTAGTGAGACCTTACTCCTCAACCACAGCCCTGCAAGGAATGGCTAAGTATTTTTAAAAGTAGGGTGAGCCAACTAACTATAATTTAAAATCTTCAATGAACACATTTCAGACTTTGGCAGAATAAGATAGGGTTTAAGAGCACTTATTTACCTCATGAGAGACTGCAGAACCTAGGAGAAACTTTAGATTTCGTACTCTCGCAACTTCTACACAGATGCAAGCTTCCAAGTTAATCATTCTATCCACATCTTTTCAAAGAATCAAGATTTTAAATACTGTTTTAAGATTTAAAATCCCAGGTTTAGAAAAACCAGTGTAGGACTTATTAACCATTTGTTGGTACGAAATCACACAAAATACTGCTTATATACAATGAACTAAAATGATAAAAGGTTTTGAGGGGGGCACTTAACAGAGGCTTGCCTTTAATCTGCCTGCTTCTGTATTCTACGAAAGAAAATCAGACCAAAGAGATTGCATAGATTGCATTCTAAAATTAAATCCTGTAAAAATACTTTAATTTCAAATAGCAAATTTTGTGTATATAATGCTTTTAATTGGCATTATAAATTCATAGTCTCATTCAAATTTTATCAAGAAGTTATTTGTTAAATATTCAATTTTTTTTTCTAAAAGTATCTGAAAATTTCATTTTCCCTAAAATTTCTAGGAACAGAGAAAAGCAAAATCAAAAGAAGGTTCTAAGTAAAATACTCCTAAGCCAGCCCAGTATACACACCTGAAATCTGGCTGGGGAGCATCGGGGAGAGTACCTACTCACCTTACCAGAGCAGGTCTTCTAGATGGAAAACAAAACAGCAACAACTACAAATCTTAAATAAAAACTAATTAAAGTTGAAGTCTTAGAGAATCTTAAGGAATTTCTCTAACTGATCATTGAAAGGGCCGTTCATCACAGTGACAGTTCCATATTATAGACGGTGACACAGAGAGCTGAGTAAGACTGAAAACACATTAAGAAATCATTGATACATTTCTGTCACTGATACCAGCCCCAAGCAACATTTGTTCCTGCTTCTCCAAATGGAGATACAGTTATTTAAGTTTGACAACTGGAAACATAAAGGATTACAGAATAAAAACAAAAGCAATTATAAACAAACAGAATATTCAACAGATGAAAATGCATGAAATTAAACACAATTAGTATAACTTACACATTTTGAAAGTATATATTTCACTTATAAATATTTCTAATAATCTGTGAAGAATCATAAATATTCAAGTGAGCATTTTTGAGTTCAGAATTCTTGAAATTTTAGAAGATTAGTCTCTTTCTGCTGAATGTCCAAGATTAAAAGGCTTTACAAAGTCATTTTATGTCTCTAGTTAGACATTTATTACCTACTGTGTTGTACTAAGACTTTAAAATTCTGTAACTCTCTTATACTTGTAGAAAGCCTATAGGAAGAAAAAAAAAACATATTAGTACTGCTAACATGGTACATATTTCAAATGACACTGTTACATGGGCTATAATTTGAAAGCAAGATCTGAAAGAAAAAAGGTAAGCAACACTGAAGCTTCTATTTTTAAATTAGTATGCTATAATTTCTTATTAAAAATTGATAGAACATGGAGTGTTACTTCATATTATAAATAGATGGGAACAGTGATATGAATAAGAAGCTCAAAAATAACTTATATTTGGTTTTATAAATTCATTTTACACATTCCTCACTAAACAGGAGCTCCCTGAGCATAAAGACTGTTTTGTTTCCTCCCAAATCTCTCTCCCTCTGCCCTGTACTCACTTGGTGTTCAAAAATGATTACTAATTGAATGAATGAAGTAATGAAGTGCTTCTCAGCCCAGGCACAACAGTAAAACTCTGCAGGCTGGGCTCCCATAGCACAGTGGTTACGGCACTGGCCACATGGCAGAGGCTGGTGGGTTCAAACCGGCCTGGGCCTGCTAAACAATGACAACAGCAACAAAAATAAAGCCGGGCATTGTGGCGGGTGCCTGTAGTCCCAGCTACTTGGGAAGCTGAGGCAAGAGAACTGCTTAAGCCCAAGAGGTTGCTGTGAGCTGTGACACCACGGTACTCTGTGGAGTGTGACATAGTGACTCTGTCTCAAAAAAAGAAAATAAAAACTCTTGAATGGGAATCACCAAAAAAAATAATTCTATTAAGTTCTGTATTATCTTTATGTACAATCTCATGTTTTTCTTTGCTATAACTAAGTGATATAGTCTGTACTATTAAGCTCCTTTCATTACTCTAAGTACTTGACAGATGAAAAGTAATTTGAGAGCTTATGATGTCAGGCAATGCTCTGAGCCCATCATATTTATGGTCTCATTTTCGGATTAAAAATCCTAGAAGTAGGGTGGCACCTTTGGCTCAGTGGGTAGGGTACCAGCCCCATATACTGAGGGTGGTGGATTCAAACCCAGCCCTGGCCAAACTGCAACAAAAAAATAGCCAGGCGTTGTGGCGGGCACCTGTGGTCCCAGGCATTCGGGAGGCTGAGGCAAGACAATCACCTAAGCCCAGGAGTTGGAGGTTGCTGTGAGCTGTGTGATGCCACGGCACTCTACCAAGGGTGATAAAGTGACTGTCTCTACCAAAAAAAAAAAAAATCCTAGAAGTAGATACAATTAACCCTGATTTTACATATTAGGAAAACTGTGGCTTAAATAAATCAAGTCACTTACTCAGGGTTATCTGGCTAGTAGGTGGGTAGTAACCTACTACAGACTTTTTGAGTGCATAGACTGAATTTTTCATGAAATATCAACTAATGATAGACATTCTATGTATATCCTTATGTTTAAAATCTCAACCTACATAGTCATCTTTAAGTAGAGGGAACAACAGGTAAAATCTTTCCTATTAAGATGAGAAATGTCAGCTGCTTCTTTTTAACTTAAGGTGCATATTAAGGGAATGTATCACTTGCTTCTCTATCTAATAATAAAAATCCTTCCTTCATTTGACTTTTTACCCTTTTCCGAGGCCAGTATAGTATTCTTTTCTTTTTTATTTTTATTGAGACAGATTCTCACTTGGTCACCCTCGGTAGAGTGCTGTGGCATGATAGCTCACAGCAATCTCAAACTCTTGGACTCAAGTGATTCTCTAGACTCAGCCTCCCTAGTAGCTGGGACTACATGTGCCCGCCACAACACCTGGCTATTTTTTTGTTGTTGTTGATTCTTTGTTTAGTATGCTGGGTGGGTTTGAACCCACCAGCCCTGGAGCATGTGGCCGGTACCCTATGGGCACCCAGCCTATAGTATTCTATGATTCTTTTCCTCTGTATTCCTCAATTGGTATTATATATATCTATGCAAAGTCAAGTATTTTTTAAACCATGGGTGATGTAAACAAGTAAACTGTATATCTGTATCCAGGAAAAAAAAATGGAGTAGAAATGAGTGAAAGAAAATGACCCTGCAGCTTAGGAAATAAAGAGCAGGTGAAGGATTTAGATTTAATCTTTTTCTTTTATCCCTTCAACTAAGCTATTCTCCTTACTCCTGCTATTGTATTTGAATCAGCTAAAGAGATTTTTTGTTAGGAAAATAGTTAAATAGTTTCCCCTTCAAAATTCAGGTGGCAAGCTGAAAAATATTGGCAATTTCTTTTTTTTTTTTTTTGGACAGAGTCTCACTTTGTCACCCTTGGTAGAGTGCTGTGGCCTCATAGCTCACAGCGACCTCAAACCACTGGACTCAAAGTGATTCTCTTGCCGCAGCCTCCCAAGAAGCTGGGACTACACGTGCCCGCCACAACGCCCAGCTATTTTTAGAGATGGGGTCTCACTCTGGCTCAGGCTGGTCTTGAACCTTGAGCTCAGGCAATCCACCCACCTCAGCCTCCCAAGTGCTGGGATTACAGGCATGAGCCACTGTGCCCGGCCCAATGTTGGCAGTTTCTATTAATTTTTCCTATGGCCTGACTTGTTAGCATTAAAGCGACTCTAAAGTGAGTACAGGATAATATAAAATAGTAATTACATCCTTTTGTCAGCAAAACAAAACAAATCCTACTTGAGCAGAAAAGATGATCTTTGCAGTTTGTTGAAACCCAGAAGGGAATCAAAAGTCTTTTCACTGGGAAAACAATTCTTACCTTCCAAAAGCATTTAAAAGAGCAACTATTTCTTGTCGGGTGAGTTGGAATCCTTTAGATGGACTGTGCTCTGGCAGCTTTTGGATTTCTTTTTCGGAGAATAATATCTTCAGGGCAGTTCCTAAACCCTGAGTCTGAAGAAAATACCAGTAAGCTTACAATCGACTTTATATCATAACTACTGTAAAGGTTCAAAGGAATACTTAATAGCCACTGTTAAAAAAGGAAGTTCATATGAACTGAGCTTTTCCCCACCATGCTAAACTATTGTTTCTACTTCCTCATAAGGTATGCATGGGATAAATTTATCTAAGCTGTTAGCCATTAAGGAAAGCTGAATAGTTTAACACTTACTGGATACATATCATACTGTGCTCTAAATTACTAAAATGCCTTTTTTTTAACCTTGAAAATTCCACATTAGAATAATAATATTCAATTTGTAACCTTAAAAGCATTTTCTAATAGCCTGTAGCAACTCAAATCTCAGATTTAATAGTGATGCTTACATTTCCCAATTGTTAGCACTAGAGAAAAAGAAAAATTGGATTTCAGTCTCTTGATATTCTATAAATTGTCATCTTTGCAAGAAAATAAAATACCCAACAGTCTTTTATACTGAATATATAGGGTAATAGACCTGCCTGGCAAAGCTTTTCCTGTTTTGTGACTAGGTTTTGATCATTGAAACAAAGTCAGTGACCAAATTTTGAGTATTTTTATATAATTTTAACTTTTATATACTGTGATCATAACTACCAACTTCAGAAAGAATAAACTAAAATCATTAACACAGAATAATACAAAACCAGCCTTATATAACATATAGTTAATCAATAAAAACCTTCCACACTTTGGATCCACCTATTCTAATTCAAGGAACAATGGAGACATCTTAATATAAATTTTGAACTGCTCAGTGGAAAAAATAACATTAGCAGTAGCTCTTTTATTTCAAAAGAGAAGACAACACACGGACCTGTAATTTTCCCCATAATCTGCATTTGTCGCATCCAACACAGTCCATTATACGGGAGATATTCTTGAAGTGTAACCGGAATTCCTCCTAGCATGCAGAAAATATTTTTAGTCTAGTAAGACTTTTAAAATTAAATTGCATTTGGCTGAACTATAGGAAATAACATTTTTCGAAGTTTATTAAATAGAGTAGTGTTTTCCAACACTGAAGGAAAATATTTGAATTTGTAGAGCGTAACACGGCGCATCAGACACCTGATCCCAAGGAAGTTCCCTGTACATGTTACCTCAGCAGACTCTTTGCTGAGGAGCTACTTCATGCAAAGCACCAAATATGCACAGTGAGAGACACAAAAGTAAATAATCCGTCATCTTTACTTTTAAGGAACTTAACTGCTGCTTCCGTTTGGCATCTACCTCCCACCAAACATAAATATATCTATTTTATGTTTCATTTATTTATTTTATTATTTTTTGCCGTTTTTGGCTGGGGCCAGGTTTGAACCTGCCACTTCCGGTATATGGGGCCGGCACCCTACTCCTTGAGCCGTAGGCATCGCCCTATTTCATTTATTGATACTTTGCTTTGTATGTCCCATATGGGAAAGCTAGTTCTAGAATAATGACAAATTTTCACATGAATCTTTCATACTATCCTCTGTCTGTCAGTGTTGCTCAGTTACCATCAGTGATGACAGGCCTGTGTGAAGTGCGTGGTCCCACAGACTCCCATGTTTGCTAACACAGATTCTTTAGGGACACTATTTTGTGGAAATAGTTTTCTACTCTACAGAAACAATTCTGCCTATAAGCGTGTGTGTGTGTGTGTCTAAGATGAATCTTACCTTACCTGAGGAACACTGGTTAAGACTACTGCACTGTGGGAAACATTTTATTGCACATAGCTGGAGGTGAGTAGCCTGAAAACTCTTGGCTACCACAAAGCCCTGCCCAGATGGCCCAAAGGGTTGAGAAGAACTAATCCGTTGGCAAAAGTAAGAAAATATAACTAAAACACAAAAACTCCTTAGCTGGCTGTTCTCATGGAATGTATGTTCTCTGAAGCAGATGGAAAATGGACTTAGGTTCTCCTTGATATACCCTTGAAAAATAGCAAAAAAAATTTCCATCACTATATAGTGGACAGCTTGTGAGACTTTAAACCCTGCTTAGTCTCATTTTCTTCATCTACAAAAATTCATGGAATTATAGTTGCCCTGTTACTATAGAATGTTAAGGGCATTCTTTTTTGACACAGAGCCTCAAGCTGTCTTTCTGAGTAGAGGTTGTGGAATCACAGCTCACAGCAATCTCCAACTCCTGGGCTCAAGGAAGTCTCCTGCCTTTGCCTCCCAAGTAACTGGGACTACAGGCACCCGCCACAATGTCCGGCTACTTTCTGGTTGCAGCCATCGTTGTTTGGTGGGCCCTGGCTGGATTCGAACCCGCCAGTTCAGGTGTATGTGGCTGGCGCCTTAGCCACTTGAGCCACAGGCACTGAGCTGTTAAGGGCATTCTAAAGATAAAACGTTGAATATCTTTGGATACTCAGAAAATAGGAAGACTTATAAAAGTGAGTTCAAC